TTCGAGTATTCGAGGTTGTAATTTTCATCTCGGCCAAGCGTGGTTTAGAAAATTACAAAATTTAAGCCTATCTAAACTTTATATTGAAGGAAAATGTTTTAATTATATTTTTGGTCTTCCATTCCTCGAACCTGATAAAGTCGAAAATTCATTTGTTTTTGATTTAATTTGCAGATATGCCATCTATCGATAAAAAAGTAGAACTTTGGGATTATTTAACAGAAACTTATATGCAAGAAATATTCATTCCTACTTTGTGGGCATCTAAATCGGAAATTATAACGAATAATGTGTGTGCATTTTTCCATTCGAAATTTAATGCATACTTTTATCGTCATCATCCATCAGTATATAAATTTATAGACGCTTTACAGGATATTCAGGTTGACGCATATTTATAAAAATTAGAAGTGCAGGAGAAGTACAACAAAGAAATAAAATAACAACAAAAAAAATAGAATATTTATAAATGAACACCGACAAATAAAAGAAGATAGACGAATTTCAAGGTATGAATTTTTGAAAAAAGTAGGTTTTAAGAATAAACGGCAAAATGTTAAATACATTTATTAGATTACCTAAACAATTATTGTATTGTTAATTTATTATTTCAGTTTTTAATTTTTTTGGTTACACGATTACCTACGATCTATTAAAAAGAATATATACATGTTACAAAATGTTAAATAAATTTGTGTGTTAATATAACATTTAAAATATTATATTAATATTTTATATATTTAACATATTAATTAAATAATCAAATGTGTTAATTTACATAAAATAATGTATTATTAATTAATTATTTTAATTTTCAATATTTTTAAATTTATTAAAAACAATATATGCATAATACATGATAGCAACCGATGTACATACGTTATCAATCATGAAGTCAAGTTACCGATCGAATACGTACCTATATATAGCTGTACCATAACATTTATATTTAATTAAATGATAAACGCATAATTGTTATCATATCGATATGTATTTAGTATATATATATATAAAATAAATTGTTGTGTTTTGTAAAATATTAATTTCTTTTCCGGCGGAATTTACATATTGGCTTTTAGAATACGTAATTTTCTCGCAGTTGGCCATCCCCCATCTCTTTCAACATTTCAACGTCAATAAACATTTAAATAACCAAATAAATACTAGCTACTGTCATTCTCGATAATATCATTTATTTTATAAAAATCAATTAGATGCATCGTTAAATGTCATTGTTTTTCTCAATTTCCTGAAAAAAACTATGATAAAAACGGTATACGTATTCTTTCTGTAATATAATTACCGTGTTCAATTTCTAATTTCAATTTAAATTTCAGAGTTTTGCTTAACAATTTTTGGATAACTCTACTATAATATATATTATATGTTATATGGGTAATTTTGGAATTGGTTTTACATTTGTAAACATTTAATAAATATTGCATTGTATATAGTCTATGTATATATATATATATATATATATATTAATTATTATATATAGGATATATGGATAGGCAGGGGGATATTGAGAGGGGGGGGGGGGGGGTACTGACTACAACTGTCCTGGGCAACAGTTTTTTGAGAGCACCAAAATTTTGTGGTCGGAAATTTGCTCACTTTTGAATTATCGAACTTTTATGATTATTTTGAAATTTTTTTTTTTTGTTTCATAAAGTATCATAAATTAATGTTAATGTATTTAATATTTTAATATATATTATTAATGCATTTACAGCAATATAGTTATCAGTGATACAGAATATTATTAATATACCTAGTATTAGTTCCCTAATTTTTTGTGATAATGACAATAAACATAAATTATTTATAATAATACGGCGTATTATGTTATCGTGTGCGGCGTGTGGTGGCGTGCCTACTACATAAAAATAGCATTGATATTAGAATATCTAAAAGGTTTATAAGGATCTATCTCCTATATTTTCCATGGGTAGGCCCCTTAGAGGGGCACCATTTTTTTTTTTTTTACGCTGGGGCGCAAGGGGCGCAAATGTCTAAATACGGCACTGTTAATAGTAATATGTATATAAATAACTATATAAAGTATATAGTATATTGCAATTATGTAGTCTAGAACAAAGATGTATAACCTTTTTTGAATGATGACCCTCAAATTTATTTAGTTCGACCAAACAACCCCATTACGTGTTATGATATATGTGACTTATATTTGGCGTTAAATTATTGGTCCCTCCACAGGTTGCGCACCACTGGTCTATGAGTCTGCATATAATGTTACTCAACCACTCATGCATTAATGTAAATTTATACCAACAAGCGATGAATTAAATTGTTCGTTTCCGATACGAATACGAACTACACAACAACTATTATTATGTTCACGCAGTAAGCACTTGAGCACCCGATCGAATTTATTCATTGAAAATCGAGCTACATCTTAAACGGATAAAAGTAAACATAATATTCGATGTTAAAGTTCCGTACAAAGCGCGTGGATAATGCTGTGTGGTGCCCGCAAGTCGTAATAAACAATTCGCAGTGCATGATTTAAACTCGAAACAAATGTCGCCCAGTGACAATGATTTATCGTCTAGTCGATGATATTTTGAAATATTTGGTAAAACATAATTAACTGTCGAAAGAAGTTTTTTTTTTAATTATGTAAATAATTAGGTAATGTACGATAGAGGAATTCGAATATAATACAATTTATTTTCATATTATCTATATTTACTTTTTCTACCAGCGTTAACATTCATTTTTTGATATTTATGCGAAGCGAACGTGAAATATATACCATCACATATTGATTGATTTGAGATGAAAATGGTTTGTGTAGTACTTGTTTTCTTAAAATGTGCACAAACAGTTCGTGGCGATACCCGTATCGCCGAGTAAATACGTAATTACAAACAACAGACACAGTTGCGGCGGTGCATTATTAATGTCATTATGTTATTTGATTCGACCCGAGGATACGTATAATGTACCAACCACGTGTTAATTTGCGGGCGCGGGCATGATGTTAGAACACGATAAACCAGAAATTTTACTGTTGATGACGTCGTGACGGTGAACATATAACTGCAGCACATCACTCTGGGCTCCGGAACATTCTTTTGCCTGCGTCAGGACTCGGGGCATTTTGAGGCTATTAGGCAAAACAAGAACTGTGGTATTTTACGGTGATTTTTTTTAAAAAAAAAAATAAACATTATATTGTTTATATTTACTTTATACGATGTAAGTTGTGATCATAAAAGTCCAAGGACTTCTAATAAATCGAGGGCATAGGTTATTGCTTATCCTACGCAATGGTAAATATGACCCTGGTGAGCGCATACACCTAAGGCATGTACAGATCTCTTTTTTGGGGTATGCAAAAAATTACCACTGCCTCCCTTTCCCATTGGAAATTATTTTAAACGTTCAAAATATTGGTAAAAATGTACGCAAGATTGTCTAAATAACGGTTTAATTTAAAATTTAAATGTTTTCTTTAAAAAAAACAGTGACTGAATGCTATTTATTTATTGTTATAACTGTCTTCATAATTAAAATTTAAAATAAATTACGAAAAAAAAATAATTAAATATATAGCATTTAGAATAGTAAGATAAATAAACAAAAACGTAGTTATATAGTTGAATGAAAAAAAGGAAATAAATTTCATAAATAATTATAATTGATCATAACACAATTCTGTGTTCAGTCGAGTTTTTAAAATCATCAATAACGTGTTCCAGATTAAAATGTATAGCCATTTCTCGATCTGTGGTTAACGCTGTTTAATCTCTTTTGAAGCACACTACTACTTCTCGATTTCATTAAAACATAAAAACGTTATTGGATTAGTTCATCATTTGTGTTTCAAAAATAAATAAAATGTTTGGAACTGAATATGAAAATATAATAACAACCATAGTGCAATTAAAAATCGTATAAGATACATTTAAAAACCAAATATGTCACACATTTCACTTATTTTTGATATTTTTTTGGAAACAAGCTCTGTTCACGGTACGCACCCTGCGTGGGCCCAGTCGCCGATCGGACGCACGGCGTTTTACGTGTGCCCACACGCAGGAGTGGAACTAGAAGGTGGAAGCACGGGGATTCGTCCCCGAGCGTAGAGAGTGTAATTTTTGTAATTATCAACAACTAATTTGATATTTTTAACACCGTTAAATACTGACAATAGGTTGGTAAAACTCAATAAGTATGATTGTATATTGATTATTAGAAGGCAATTCTCGAGAAGAGTATTTGATTATCGGTTTATAATATGAAAATTAACGTTTTCCCCAGGCGTAAAAATTCCTAGTTCCACCTCTGCCTACACGTACCTATGGGCCGTCGGCTCCGGCCGGGTACGGGGCATACTTTCGCCGGGTTAGCGGACGAGAGACAATAACGTTGTTAATAATGTTACAACGGCGGCGGACGTACGGGACCAGATTCCTATGGCCCGTACGAGGCGGAAACGCGCGCGCGCTTACGCGGATTTCGATTATTGCATATATTATGGTAATGCGCGTGTAGTCGTAGTGGATTTACCGTCGGTTTAAATATAATATGCTTTCTTTTAAGCGCGAACCGCGGACCGGTGAAAGCATCCGATAGATTTGTCCGACGCGGTGCGGCATCAACGCGCGTCAACAATCTACACGGTGCTACACGGAGTACTACAAGATGTGCGTACGTTTTAATCCGACGTACGGGAACGTGGTAACAACAACGGTGGGAAATGTTTGTTAGCGATGGAGAAAATCACCGGGTCGATGGCCAAAAGCGTGAATACGCTTTTGTTTTCATTCTCTTTTTTTTTCATATTGACCAATTGATAACTGTTAACAAAATGCTACCTGTTGCACAATAAGATAAATAAAGTGATTTATGAAAATAAATCATGAAAATATCGGGTGAGGGACGCGCATATCCAATGATAGAACGTGACAGGAGTCATACATGCTCGTTTATGTACGTTTAATATTGTTTTTTTTTTTTTTTATATATAGATCTCGACACCATTTACGGATGAATCCACGGATCGGGTTCTCGGGGAGATTGACAACGGAAAGACGAGAAATCGGAGGGTTTAAATGGGAATGGAGTTTGCGACGTAGGTTTAGATAGTGTTTTGTATTTTTTTGTTTCTAATTGGTTTATAATTTTTATATTGAGGTCATTATGAGGGAACATACTAAGGTGTTGATGACGAAGAAAAATATACTGAAATGCCTGAACAGTGCGAGTTAGAGAAAGCTTAGCACCTCCCTGTATTTGAAGCATACAATTTTACCACATTCGTTCGTTCATATTCTATTACCGACGTTTGTTGTCAATTTTTTCTAACAGATTGCCACGAATACTCTAAAAGATTCTCAAGTGGACTTATCGACAAATCGTACGCATTACAATCATTGTCGGCACTTGGGTCGTATTTCCCAGCGTGTCGTACAATTTATTAATTGAAAAAAAAAAGGTACAGTTCCGAAACATATCGTATCGATTAATAATAATAACGAACGTATTTGAATAAAAATCAATACGTCAGTTCAAACGTTAAATTAACAATCACGTTTTTTGTAGTCTTGTACATTCTGTTAGCAACAGTAATATCGTTGTGACGTGTTCGGAAGGGGCGATCGTTGTTGGCTCAATCATCCCAAATAGGAAATACTAATTTCTTTTCGCCGAAATCACGACACCGACGCTATGTCTAAGATTACGTCATCAGCAACACTCTTCTGGCACTCTGGTCGCCTTCAGATGCGTTTTACTTTAATGATGGCAACGATCACAATTACAATCGCAGCAGCAGTAGCTGCGGTAGTCGGACGACATGCGAGAGCGGTTTTCGCGGCGTTTTCGAAAATAAGACGGACGCGTTTCCGTCCGTCGTCGCATGTGGCCCAATCGGACAACGACATCGACCTGCGGCGCACACTCGGACGTGTCAACGATGCGATCGACGGCGGCGGCCGGAGAGAAACTGCAGCGCACCACAATAATAATATACACGTGTATACCTATAATGGTGTATACCTATATTACTGTGCTACAGCGGTAGTGCTACGGAACGGAGTGGTAGTGGTAGCGACGGCGGCGGTTACGAGTTACGACGGTTGCGGCCGCGGCGGCGGTAGTGGCGACGAGGTGGCGCGGTGTTTAATCGTGTTGTCGCCGCACCAGATCGCCGTATAGTCGCACACGCCGCGCGCGCAATCACTCGTCAGTCGACGCACGCTAACGTACCGAGTGACCGGTGTCCGCGCGCGTTCGAGGTGTGCATGTCCCGCTCGTTGTTCTACAGTGCTATGCTCACGCGAACGATCGCATCCCGGTGCAGGTGCGCGCAGTCGACCACTTTCACGTCACCGTCGTCACCGTTCCCGCGCGTCAGTGCTACACGGTGCTAGGATAGTCTCGCGGCCTCCAAGTCGCCGGAGATCGTTGTCGCAACACCGCTCGCACGTACGGCCCGCGGATCAGAGTTCTGATAACACGCGGTCGGCATTCGTATGGTGGTGGCGTAGCACCGGGGGAACAGTTACATCCGACCGCGACCGATGGCCGACACGGTGGTCGTGTCGGAAGACGCGACCGCGACCAGCACTACCGCGCTCGTCGACCAGATAACCGTGGCCAAGACGTTCGCCATGCTCGTGCTGGGCCTGGGCTCGTTCGTGTTAGGCGTCGTGCCCATCAAGCTGACCAAGTGGTGGCGCAAGGACCCGGCGGACCCGATGGCCGGCCGCGCCGTAGCCGGCCACTCGCACGGCGGCGACTCGGCCACCGGTTCGCCCGTCGTCTCGCTGTTGCTGTGCTTCGGCGGCGGTGTGCTGCTGTTCACCACACTACTACACCTGCAGCCCGAGGTGCGCGAGGGCGTGAGCCGGCTGCAGCAGGCCGGCCACTTGCCTAACGACCAGGGCACCGAGCACCTGGGTGACCTGATCTTTTGCGCCGGGTTCTTCATGGTTTTCATTATCGACGAGATCGTACACTCGGTGCTGGACCGATTCGCGGCCGACCACGCGGACCGAGGCTCCGCCGAGGAGGTGCTGCACCGGTCCATGAGCCTGAGGCGGCGCACCATGTCCATACCGCGGGCCTCGCTGGCCGGCTCGCCTAGCTCCATACCGTCGTCGGCGGACACGGGCGTCGGCACGTCCACGGCCAGCATCAGGGAGCTGCTCAAAGAGTCCAAGGGCAAACGGTACCGGACGTCCGCGTGGGACGCGCCACCGCCGCCCGGTGCTGCACCCGAAGACCCGCGCCACCACCGGCACTTGCACTACCACGACAACCATCAGCAAACGCACAAGAGACCGCTGCCTAGCGCCGAGGACGCCGAGAAGCAGACTGCCAAGTTGGACCACGTCGACCAGTCGGACGACCGAGGCGTCGCCGGCCAGTCATTCCGTGGTTTGTTCGCCGTGCTAGCACTCTCGTTCCACGAGGTGTTTGAGGGCCTGGCCATCGGGCTGGAGGAGCGCGTCGACAACATGTGGTACCTTTTTATCGCCGTGGCCACGCACAAGCTGGTCATCGCCTTCTGCATCGGTCTAGAACTGGCCTGGTCGAAAACCCGCAGGATCGTGCTTGTTATGTATGTGGCTACGTTCGCCGTGGTAACGCCCGTGGGTATCGTCATCGGCATGGTGCTGGTGCACTGCGGTTCCGGCGGTTCCGTGGACGGGTCACCCGGCCGCGTGGCCGTCATACTGCAGGGTCTGGCCGCTGGTACGCTGCTGTACGTCGTGTTCTTCGAGGTACTCGCCAGACACAAGCAGTCCGGGTTCCTGCACCTGCTGTCCATCATGTTGGGCTTCTGCAGTCTGCTGATACTCCAGACGATGAGTGAGTACCTTTGCTCTTGAACTCGCACCGTGCCCTGTAGTCGTCGTCGATCGCTCTCCTCGTCACTATGGTGTTCTACTCTAATATTTTTAAAGGTCGAGTACGTCTACTGTTCGTCCCTGTCGCGGAACAGTACCGAAATATTGTTGTAAATCTATCCGGGGTTTAATTTTTTTCGCCGGCGTCGAACAATCTGCGGGCCATCGTATCTTAACGTAACGAACGGTGTACAATGCACGTATACTTCGGCTATCTATTATCAATTCACCCCGTAATGTATACACATGGCTGTTAACATGCACTCCTTATCCCTTTGCGCACAGAGCAACGGGCCGGAGTGTTAGTGCTCGGTAAACGCATCATGTATACAAGGGTTAGGGAGTATACTAGGTCCCTGTAAGTCTTTTTTTCTGGCTCGTGCTATATTTTCAAATTACATCATACAATTTTAAAGTTTATCGTCTATACACTATCTTATCGATATAATAATTGTTATCTGGTATTAAAAATCGTTAAATGCACATACATATATCTGTGGTTAAATGTCTAAATGTCATATTTATATATACGTATAGCTATCAACCATAGCTGTTTTTACTGAACTATTTGACTATATCAGTTTCTTCGTATCGTGCTGTCTTATGTGTTGAATTTATTATTTCCGTGTATATAAATGCTAATTAAAATCTATATTTTGAATGGCATCTTTTTTTGCCGGTCCCTGATGTAAAAAATTTCAATATTACGACTATAGACGCCGTCGTTCAGTCCCACCGGTAGATATGGATGTGTACATCTAACGCTATTCGTATTCCTAATATTTCCAATCCTTTTTTCCAACGCAGCGCTGTTCAAATCGAATCGATATCACGCACACATAATGCATATACTTATCTTTGTTTACAATTATTGAAATACCGTATAGTAATGTGTTTACACAGCGTATTACGTTTCAAACACCTATCTTTTTCCTCGTTCATTATACATCTGATACCATTTGGTCCTATTGTTTTCTGATACACGAAACTATTACGTATTTGTAGTGTTTCGTTTTTCGTTTTCCTAAATATTATTGCTTTCACAAAACATTTCTAGTTGTAGTATTACTCATTTCCTCGATTCGGATCGTCTTGTGATGACAGTTGACACGTGTGTAACAAAATACATCACGCCAAACACGTGATTGATAATATTATGTTGTCCAACTAAAAAAAGAGGTTTTTTTTTTTATTATTGCACGTAATTATTATTCACGAGATGAATCAGACAATCGTGTTGAATATTTTATTTGAATATATTTAAAATTTGAAATTTTTTACGCAAACGATCCAAGTACATTTGAAATGTACGAGTTGTAATACGTATAATAATAATATTGATGCCGAAGCCAGAAAGCAAAGAACACCATGAATATGACTAAGTTATTTAAACCGTCGTTCCATCACGAGTTCTAAATAAAAAACCGTTTTTGTTTTTATTATCAAATATAAATCTAAATCATCTTGAGCCAACTAAAAAAAAAAAAAGGACTTTGTAATTAAACGTCTTGATTCTAATTTTATATTTGTATTTAAATAGTTTTTTTGATTAGAGTTTTTTTTTTTTAAAATAATTGCCATCCATTTTGAAGATAAACCCAAGAATACAGAACAATACTTATATTTTCATGTTATTTATTTCTTCAATTACTAATATTAACAGTCACCAATTTTGCTTTTTTAAATTAATTACGATACGTAATCATGCATTTTTAATTACAATTTTCATTTGAAAACATTCGTGTACGCGTAAAACAATAATAACATTATCTTAATCTCTTATTATTATATTATATTGTAACGAATCAAATTTTTAATGCGTGTAATTAAATTTTAATTTGGGATTATAATTGTGTGAGTTAAATATTATAAACTGAAGGGAAAACATTTTTATTATTTAAAGTACACGGGAATTTTAAAGTAAAAATTATTTACAATTTAATAATATTTTGATGGTTTGATATAATTAAAAATAATTGATTTAACATTGAACTATTAGTATTGTACTATAAAATGATGCGGATCGGGTGAATAAAAAATATACTAACTTTATTCGTTTTTGATATATAAAAATAACATGGTGCAGATTGAGAATAACTGATTGTGTTTATGTGTTATCGAAAACAGTAATTGATTTTTAATTTAGTTAAATAAATTAAATCAAATAAATAACTAAGTAAATAAAGATAATTGTACTGTGCATACAATGCAAATCAGAGTACCTATTATTTACAAATGCTAATTGAACCTAAATCTATGATACTGTTGGAATTTGAATTCGTAAATAAAAACAAGTATTTTTAGACGCGCATGTATTTTATTTTAAAAAGGTTTTGATTCATTTTTTATATATAAAATATGTATGAAAAACCGGTTTATTTTAAAAACCACATATATAAGATGTCTCTTGAGACATGATAGGTCAAGAAAAAAAAATAATTTCTCTGTTCTCATATATTCGATCCGTCCGATCCACGGTATTATTGACGTTTATTCGGGTGATTCGGGATAACATATACGAAACGTAAATGATCCATGGTGAACATTTAGAGTCTTATTGTAAGTATCGAAAATACCTGTTTTATATATTTTTTTTTTTTTTGGAAGAGTTTTTTGCAACATTAATTTCTCGTGCTTGATAAATACCAACGGTCGTTTAATTGATATTGACGGTGTAATTAAAAGAAAAAGAACGTTAACATTTTTCCGATTCTAACTTTCTAAAAGCGTGTATACGTGGGTAGTATGTTGTTTTCAATCCAAATACTCAAAAATATCTTCGCTGATAAAAACAACACATTATTAATGGGTGGCATTTATTAGTCGTATTGATATATTACCATTATCCGGGCATAGCGTTTCACTGATCATTGTTCGTGAAGCGCTTCCGCGTGTAATTTATTTATTTATAATTCAACGGTGCTAGTAGCTCTTTTACAGTATTAAATATGATATAAATCTAACAGATCGTACAAAGAAGCAATAAATTATTTTTATAACTGTAGGATTATTAAAGGAATAAACAAAAAAAAAAAAAATATAGGGCTTTGAAAAAAAAATAATTTTGGTGGTCTAAAAATTGTTGTCGGACAGTTGCTTTCATGTTTAATGAAGTTTTCACTTTTTACACGTGCCGTCATAAAATCACATCATCCGATGAGTCGTATCTAAGATACGAGTATACGTACGATATTTATTTCGCGCCATTAAAATAATCATAGAAAAAAATTGATTTAAGGTACAAAATAAGTTATAAGTCATTAAAGTATATTTATTTAAAGGTCATGTATTCCTTTGGATGATTGTATTTTCCATAGTATTAAAATTTGTTTTAGGGTAGTTTATAGGAATGACAAAATATAAAATATTTAAAATAGCACGTATAAAAAATGATATACTTATTATTATATTATATATTATATTATTTAAGTTTAAACTAATAAGTTGTTATAATTAATTACAATGTAAATAATTAAATTAATCTAAGAAGAAAACCTAATAAAAATATATATAGTAAACATTATTATACATAATTGAGTTATTATAACTACTGTAAATTACTCATTTATTGTATATTTAGATAAATCATGAATATAATTTAGATTTTAATTCTTAATATGAACAGCGAAGTGTTTAATAGGTACTTTTTGAGATGTTTGTAATATATTATTTTTGTACGTCAAACTGTTTTGGTTAAATTATTTTTTCAGCTCTGTTGATAATTTTTGCTATTATATCGTTTTTCCAGTTATTTTGAGTCTTAGTTTAGGCATTTTTTTTTACTGTAAATCACCCTAGTTGTTTAGAAAATACAATGTTTCTTCTATTAATATTTTATTAGTACTATTGTTATAGTCGAGTATTTCTAATATAAATCGCACAAATATACCTTTAAAATGTAAACGGATATTGTATATGTCATATGTAAGTCATATGGACTTGTATTTGAGCTTTTCGTTTTGGTAGGATTATGATTTTCCGGTGTGCATAAAATGTTTTGCATGTCTCAAGTCTTTGACCAAGTTTTTAGCAGTAAGAATTTTTTTTGAAGCATCATAGGAACTACTTTTCGTATGTATCCAAAGCTAGCTTACTTTTTACTAGTTTGTCTGTCAGATTTTTATGTTTTGTTTACATTGTCTTTTTATACCATTTTCGTTTGTCCATTAATGACTACTATATGTTATAAAATAGAAAGATATTTATCAACTAATGAAACAAAATTTCTTTCTCACGTATGTGCCAATTATATGTTAGTTTTCAAAATCCGTAATTAATGTAATTTATTTTCTATTTCAACCCATTAAACACAATATACTACATACAATATGTAAGTTGTTGGTTTTTTAGTTGTTAGTTACCTATTAATTCTGGTTCACTAGGTATTTATTCAATTCAATCTACCTATTTTTATTTGAACTAATATAGGTTTTTATGCGTTTTTTATACATTTATTTTAATTAATACAATATCAATTATAAGAACACTTTTTTTTTAAACTTTAAACAAAGTACAATATTATTTACGTTTGCTATTTTATATATTTTATTTTTCGTCATTCCTATAAACTACCCCTGATACAAATGTTAATACTATAGAAAAAATACAACTATATGAAGAAATACATAACCTTTATATAAATGCACTTTAATAATGTATCATAAATCAATTTTTTCTTATAATTATTTTAATCGTGCGAAATAAATACCACGCCTGTATTTTAGATATGGCCCGTCGGATGGCGTACTTTTATGAAAATACGACTTATGTTTAAAAACGGACAGCAATTTCTAGACCACCAAAAATATTCTTTTTTAAAGCATTATATTTATACCAAGTAAAAAAAAAAAAAAGGTTTTTTGGTTGTATTTTGAATTGTTGAGTGTTTCTGTGTACATATGTACCCTAACGTTTTATAAGATTTGCTGAGAAAATGTTCATGAGTTTCCTTAAAGGACAAAT